CCCCCCCCCCCCGCCTTTTTCTTTTTTCTTTTCCCTCCTCTTTTTTACTATTGTGGTACTACTGTACCTTCTGGTTGTTGTTTTAGCTATATTTTTATTTTTATATTCTTTCTAACATATCTGTTTCCTAGTCTAATTTTATTTTTTACTTTGTTAATGTTCTCTTTATTTTTTTTGTGTGTGCCACCCTACGCAGCTTGCAAGATCTTGGTTCACAAGCTAGGGGTCAGCTCAAAACTCCTGTGGTGTGAGCTCTGAGTCAGAAGCACCAGACAGAGAACCTCAGACCCCAGGGAGTATTCATCAGAGTGAGGTCTCACGGAGTTCCTCATATCAGCATCAAGACCCAGCTTTACCCAATAGCCTACAAACTCCAGTGGTGGAAGCCTCAGGCCAAACAACCAGTAAGACAGGAACACAACCCCACTCATTAAAAAAAAGAAAAAGAGGCTTCAAAAAACTATGTCACAGATAAAGGAGCAAGGTAAAAACCTATAAGACCAAATAAATGAAGAGGAAATAGGCAATCTACCTGAAAAAGAATTCAGAGTAATGATAGTAAAGGTGATCCAGAATCTCGGAAATAGAATGGAGGCCCAGATTGAGAAAATACAAGAAACGTTTAACAAAGATCTAGAAGAAGTAAAGAACAAACAAACAGAGATGAACAACACAATAAGTGGAGTGAGAAATACACTAGAAGGAATCAATAACAGAATAATTGAGGCAGAAGAACAAATAAGTGAGCTGGAAGATGAAATGGTGGAAATAATTGCTGAGGAGCAGAATAAAGAAAAAAGAATGAAAAGAATTGAAGACAATCTCAGAGACCTCCAGGACAACACTAAACGCACCAACATTCGAATTATAGGGGTCCCAGAAGAAGAAGAGAAAAAGAAAGGGTCTGAGAAAATATTTGAAGAGATTATAGGAGAAACCTCCCTAACATGGGAAAGGAAATAGTCACCTAAGTCCAGGAAGCACAGAGAGTCCCATACAGGATAAACCCTAGGAAAAACACACCAAGACACATATTAATCAAACTAACAAAAATTAAATTCAAAGAAAAGATATTAAAAGCAGCAAGGGAAAAACAAAAAATAACATACAAAGGAATCCCCATAACATTATCAGCTGATTTTTCAGCAGAAACTCTGCAGGCCAGAAGGAAGTGGCAGGATATATACTTAAAGTGATGAAAGAGAAAAACCTACAACCAAGATTACTCTACCCAGCAAGGATCTCATTCAGATTCAATGGAGAAGTCAAACGCTTTTCAGACAAGCAAAAGCTAAGAAAATTCAGCACCACCAAACCAGCTTTACAACAAATGCTAAAGAAACTTCTCTAGGTGGGAAACACATGAGAAGAAAAAGACCCACAAAAACAAACCCAAAACAATTAAGAAAATGGTAATAGGAACATACATATCGATAATCACCTTGAATGTAAAATGGATTAAATGCCCCAACCAAAAGACACAGACTGGCTGAATGGATACAAAAACAAGACCCATATGTATGCTGTCTAAAAGAGACCCACTTCAGACCTAGGGAAATACACAGACTGAAAGTGAAGGGATGGAAAAAGGTATTCCAGGCAAATGGAAATCGAAAGAAAGCTGGAGTAGCAATATTCATGTCAGGTAAATAGACTTTAAAATAAAGACTGTTACAAGAGATAAGGAGGGACACTACATAATGATCAAAGGATCAATCTAAGAAGAAGATATAACAATTATAAATGTTTATGCACCCAACATAGGAGCACCTCAATACATAAGGCAACTGCTAACAACCATGAAGGGAGAAACTGACAGTTACACAATAATAGTAGGGGACTTCAACACCCCACTAACACCAATGGACAGATCATCCAAACAGAAAATAAATAAGGAAACACAAGCTTTAAATGACACAGTAGAGCAGATAGATTTAATTGATATTTATAGAACATTCCACCCAAAAGTGGCAGAATACACTTTCTTCTCAAGTGCACATGGAACATTCTCCAGGATAGATCACATCTTGGATCACAAATCAAGCCTCAGAAAATTTTAAAAAATTGAAATCTGGGCTTCCCTGCTGGCGCAGTGGATGAGAGCCCGCCTGCCGATGCAGGGGACACGGGTTCGTGCCCTGGTCCGGGAAGATCCCACGTGCCGTGGAGCAGCTAGGCCCGTGAGCCATGGCCGCTGAGCCTGCGCGTCCGGAGCCTGTGCTCTGCAACGGGAGAGGCCACAACAGTGAGAGGCCCACGTACCGCCAAAAAAAAAAAAAAAAAAAAAAAAACTGAAATCTTATCAAGCATCTTTTCTGACCACAACGCTATGAGATTAGAAATCAATTACAGGAAAAAAACCTGTAAAAACACAAATACATGGAGGCTAAACAGTGCACTACTAAATAACCAAGAGATCACTAAAGAAATCAAAGAAGAAATTAAAAAATTCATAGAAACAACTGACAATGAAAACACGACGACCCAAACCTATGCGATGCAGCAAAAAC